CTGTCCTGGTTGCATCCTCAGAATAAACAACATACTTAAGACATTTGAAACAAAAGCTGTGTTTTCAGATTCTTGCAGTAGCTGTAATTTAGTTGGTTAAAAGCTGGTAGAAATTTGGTTTTAGATATTTAAACCTCAACCTGCTTGGAAATCTTTGTTTGTGCTCATTAAGATATACAGATTAAAAAATGATTCTGCAGCCATTTAGCCTACATAAGATGAGACACAGAGAAAAGGGCAGATTGACTTTGTCTTTAGATAATACAATTAATCCCCCAGCTCATTTGCTGCAAGGTTAAGTCTTGTCAGTTAAATAGTGCAAAATTCAGGGTGTAAAAAAGTCATGTAGGGTTATGCATGGGGCTGTTTCCCAGCAGGGTTTCATATGCAGATGTTAAGAAAATACAGCATGCTAGAGGTGTATGTTCAAACTAAAAAAAGAAGTGCCAGTTGCCTCATGAAATAAGCCCTGTCTTGTATGGGACATATTTGCACAGGCACAATGGAGTCATGATATGCTCAGGTCAGAACTTTTTCAATGCAGTTTCCATGCAGGCGGCTGGAAATACACACTATCCCACCGGAGAGGCCCCCACTGCCTCATTCTCCATGAAAGAGTCCATTTAAAGGCTCAGAGGCTGGGCATGTCCTGAGTTTACTGTCTAAGGTGAATTAGACTTTCCTCAGTGCCCAGTCAGGGGATACACAAACCACGGGGACTGAATAAGGACTGTGGGACCCTGTTGAGAACTTTCTCTAAATCTTTAAAAGTCTTGATATTTCCCTCCTTAGCTCTTGGTGTGTAACATTTTGTTTTTCAAATTGGTCTCAGTAGATCTCAGGACTAAAATCTTCATGAAAAATCTATATTTTCTTAAATTAGAAGTATAATCTGATTCATTGTAACTGGGTCCTACAGCTCTTGTACTTCAGACTTAGACAGGACTTTTTAAACTACAGCTTTAAATCTGTGAATCCTTCAGCATGAATACAAGACTGTTTTTTATAATTAAAAAGTCTGTCATGTGAGGCTTGGAAAGTACATCTGTGGGCAACCTCAGAGCAGATGAAAAACTGGAGATGCCCGAGTAGAATTTGTATGTTATTTCTAAGGCTGCCATTTTGAAGAGCCAGGTGGCAATCTGCATGAGGAGCAGGATGCATCAGCTGGGTGCATGCCTGTATATAACCTCAAGTCTAAACCTATGGGGCTAAAAGTCACAACAAAATTCAAGTCATGTCCTGACCACTAATTAGACCGAAGTCCTGTTTGTGTCATTGTATTTTCCAGTATATGATAGGACATAAAGCGATTCAATACAAAACAAAACATTGTGGGATACAAAATAATACAACATGAAACACGACACAATATGATATGATATGATATGATACAATTATATGAAACTGTAAGTTTTGATATACTTGATTGAGAGTCGAGTGCTGCATATGCTCAGCTGCATATACCACCACTAAATAAAACAAATGAATAAAGCAATATTTATATATGGAATTTCCCCCTGTGGGACTAATAAATGAATATCTTATCTTATCTTCAAGACCAATGTTAACATCTTAACCAAAAACACATGCCAAAGAGACCATAATTATACAAGCAACACATTTAACACAATCTGAAGAGAGATTACAGTTTAGAAAATTAAAGTTGTTTTCAAATAATTCAGAAATAAAGTAAGTCACTGTCACAAAACTAAAAAGGAAAACCCAACAGTGGCAAATATTATTTATAGGATGATTCATGAGAGGGAGTTCAGAGGAACCAACCCTGTCCACTCTGACAGTGAGCTGATTTAGATTTTGTTTGGACAGGCATGATCTGTTTTAAATAAAAGAAGAGCTCTCCTCTCAACTACAGCATGTGTGTGACAGAAACACTGCTGTCCCCTTACAGATGGGAATTTATCTGAGGTTTTATGCAAATTAGGCTGTTTGCTCTGAGCTGTCAACTGAGTTTCTGTATTTCACCATCTGTATTATTTCCACCGGTTTGTGATATCCCTTTTTCTCTGCAGGTGTTTTGATGGAAGAAGAGGTGTGATACTTCAAATGGGAGTGTTGCCACGGCCCATCTTGTGCATTAACTTCCAGAAGGCTCACTGTCATTGTAAAAGTACCCACAGATTGTATGTCCATGCTCCCCCAAAGTCCAAAGACTCATGAGGATGAGTGATAATTGCTGAAGTTATCATCTCAGCAGTGCTGCAGTAACAAAAAATGCCCCTTCAACATGACCTTTTACATACAGCTGAGGTTACATTGTGAACTTAAAAAAATAGTGTATTTCTGTTGTTATTTTAAACTGCAACTTTAACATTACAGATTTACTGTTAAACCTATAAGATTACCTATTGTACAGTATCTTTGTAAACTCAATCTGTTAGAAAAAAAACATGAAAAACACACTATCAACCACTGAAAAATAATAAATCTTACTTTTACTTATAAGCCTGCTGTAAAACTTTGACCACAATCACTGATTAAGAAGCACATTTAGGGTTTGGTCCCCCAGCCTCTATGCTTAACAGTAAGCCACATTAGCTGCTCACTCCTCCTTATCCAGACACTGAACCCATAGTTGTCTTGAGCATGTTTGCTTTATAAAACACAGACTCTTTTTCCACTCTATTTTTACCTCTCTATCCCTTGACAACAAGGATGTACAGTTTCCTCTTATATCCTCTCAACCTTTGTCCTATGTCTGTGTACGAAACATATCAATTACTTACGTCATTGTACATTTTGAGAATTTTTGTATCGCCAAACAGAACACCAAATTTATTATAATCTGACTTAAAAGTCAACACCAAGAGGCCTCTGACCTTAAGAAATTGAAAACCTACAGGAATAAGATGCTGCCTTCTTCTCTCTATGAGAGCTCATTAGAGAAACAACTAAAAACTCCATCATTACCTCAGGTTTCAGATGCAGAAACAGCTCCTTATCTCTCTTTTCATCAACTAAAAAACGTAGTCAACCATTAGCCCATACACCTCCCTTGAAAATCCTACATTAGACCATGTTTGTGTAAAATCAGGACTGATATTTAATTTGAAAGATTCCGGAGGTTGTGGTCAACTTGGTTAAGTTTGTCTAGTGAGATCTACTGTATGTCATGAAAATGATCATATTGTTAAAATTTATCTGCAGTTTTATCCCCATACTGCTTTCAACAGAAACTGAGTTAGTCCTCCATTAGATTTAGCCTATTTTACCCTCTTTCTATTCCTGCCATCACATTCCCCATCAGCATCTCTCTCTTCCTCTTTCCCTCTCCCTCACTCTGATGTGTTACGTCGGAGGGAGGAAGGAGGATCGAGTGTCCACCGTTCCTCCCATCACCTGTGAAATTTCAGAGCCAGGCCACGGTGAAAGGGGGTATTGTGTCCCCCTGATGAGGAATGCCCTTGCGTCGCTCCTCAAAGAAAAGGCTTCATTTGGCAAGGAATTTGGAGGCATCTCGAGAAGTGTATAGGGGAGATTTTCTCGGGGGTGGGGATGGAGAGCTGAAGGCCTTCATCAAACTGCCCAGAAGCAGGACACATCTTCAAAAAGAGGGACTCGGTCTCTAAAGTTCTGATTCATCAGCATTCAACCAAAAGAAAATCAACAAGATTGTGAATCACTCCTTTTGTGGTTGATTTAAATCTACAAATCAAATACCTTTAAAATTTCGATGACATTTATCACCTGTAGAAGTTTCTAACTGGTCTTTAAACAGTTCGTTTAACAAATATCAGAGTTGGAAAGGTACACCTCAGATACAACTATTTGAAATACCACCGACTTTCCTCCCCGGCAGCTGTTTTCTGTGAAAAGGCTGACATCTGCTGGTGAGAAACTGACAACTACATAATCTATGAAAGCAGTCTGTAAAGTGCAGACTGCAGGCAGAGCTATTTAACTTCGGTGAGTGTTGATTATAAATCAAAACTAACCTTCCAAGATGACAGTACACACCACTATAGATCAGTTACAACAAACGTTTATGTTCCCACTCAGAACATTCCTGCTCACAAATAAATATGCCAATATCAACATGTTGTATTGATACATTTCAAATCTAAGGCAGTACAACAGTATATAACTATTATAATACAAGAAATGTATTTGGCTTAACGTTTGTCATGTAAGCTGTAGATATGAAACAAATATGAGATAGTAAGATGAGGCGATTTTGAGATGTTTTATGCCTTTCAACACTGACAGCAACGGATAAACATAATGCTAAGAGAGAGATAGACATTTTGTACATAAGGCTGTTTTTACAGAAAAAAAAGCCTATGTAAAGTCTTATTTATCTTTGTAAGGTGACTATTCTCTTAAATAGAAAAAGTATACATTATCTGATCAGTTGTTGAACATAAATGAGGGAATAACAAAGTCTGTGTTGATATGTGATTTAGCTTATTGATGCAATTTTAAAAATGACTTGTCTCTAGGTTTCATCGCTAAGGCAAATTGATCTTATCTTAAAATATGCTCCATAATCCATCTTTTGAAAAATGATCTTACAAATAATTCCTTAACTGAAGCCCAGTCATTCAAAACGACAAGTATAACTAAATCAATTTAGATGAAGATAACTTAAAATTATAAAATTAAGTACTTTTAAATATCATTTTACTGTACGGTAAATGTGTTGATTTGATAGGTAACTAATGTGCTTTTGAGCATTTTTATTTGACCATATTAGGACAGTCAGAACAAGATAATCAGACATTTCTGAGACTAAAATCTGAAAGATAATGAAAAAGGTAGCATGAAAAATACTATCGAACACGATTAGTATCCTGTATAGGTATAGGGAGAGATTGCTTAGCTTTATAGATCATGTATATATTTATATTTATGGTCGTCCGTAAAAATATTTTAAAAGAATGGAGAAAGAGAGAAACAAAAGTCATGAGAACAATTCTTGCTGCACAAAGTTGAGAGTACATCCTCCGCTCCAGCAGGTGGCGGTTACAGTTTGTGGCCACCATTTATACGCCGTAGAAGAAGAGACGGGACCGAAGTAGCTGTGTTTGCCGGCTGATTTCAGCAGGTACTGTAGTGAAATATATGCCCAACATTATGTCATTATGTTTTTTAAAAGTACATGGTAGTTAACAAAACGATTCGATACAGTTAGAGAATCAACAGGGGTTCGCTACAAAGGTAGAAAAGCAAATCGCTGCACATTAGCTGTGTTCATGTGTTAGCACTAAGCTAACTGTGGTTGTATATTGACTAAAGTTATCACGGTTTAACACCGCCTAACATTTCAGAGAAGTGCGTATTTGATACGTTTGTCATCAGAATCGTGTCATTAAACGATCAGAATTATTATTTACTTTTTGTTTAACTTCTCAAAGATCGCAGCGGTAATTTGTGGCACTCTTATATAGAGGATCAAACATGTCATGATCACAGTTATTTCATGAGTAGGTTTCTGAAATCTTCGTGGTTGTGTGCAGTTTTACACATGTCTCTGCCTCTTTCAAGGTCCTGCAGAATAACATGGAGAAGAATGAGGAGCGGGTCCCTGCAAATGGTAGTAAAACACTGATCGTCCGTCACCTACCAGCCGAGCTCAGTCCACAGGAGAAGGAGGACCTCTTGAAGTACTTTGGAGCCGAGTCAGTCCGGGTCTTCTCAAACACAGGGCGTTTGGTAGGTTATAAATCAGAAACACTTCTATTACTCTGAATTCATTTGAGCAGCTAAGAAGACTGAACTGTCTTTCTACATCTCCACAGAAACATGCAGCCTTTGCAGCTTTTAAAACCGAGAAGGCAGCAGCAAAGGTGAGTTTTTTGAATGGCGTTTTATTACCCGAATATGTAAAGAGAAAGACTTGCAGTGCGACCACCTGCCTGATGTTGTGTGGCATGGATTCTAGTAGATCAATAGAGGTGTGTTGTTGTATCGAGCTCTGACAAAACCGCGGCAGTACTTTTGAGTTCTTGAAGTCGTGAGGTGGAGTCTTCATGGATCAAAGTTGGCTGTCCAGCACATCCTCCAGGTGCTCAGTTGGACTGAGATCATGCAAATTCAGAGACCAAACCAAAAAAAAAAAAAGAAAAGAAAAAGAGAGAGAGAGAGAACAAGCCAGCACCTTAAACTAGTTGCATTTCTCCAAACCACCTTTTGTCACTGCAGGAACACAGTCCCATCCACAACAAACTTGTGCACTGCTCATTCTGACACCATTCTTTCAAAACCAGCAAAAACTTTTTTCAGCAGTCCCGTAGCTTTTCTGTTTTTCCTTTTGCTACTCTTTGTAAACACCAACCCCTATAGACTGGGACCAAACCATAGGAGTTTCGGTTTTCGAGATGCTCTGACCCAGTTATCAAATCATTACAGTTTGGTCTCAAAGTTTCTCACATCTTTACTCTGGCCCATTATTCTGATTCACTTCAACACATTCACTTCAAGGACATAATATTCACCCGCTGTGTATCATATCCCATCCACTGACAGGTGAAGAGATAATCGGTGTTATTCACTTCGCCTGTCAGCAAACACAATGTTATGGCTGATTAGTGGGTTTTTTTTTTCTTCATCTTGTCTTTGTTCATCTTGTCTTTGTTCATCTTGTCTTTGTTCACCTTATCTTTTCAGGCTCTTAGCCGGCTCCATCAGTTAGAGGTTCTGGATCGTACTCTTGTCGTGGAGTTTGCAAAAGACCAAGATCATGTGACAGTATTAAAAGATCCACCAGTATCAAACAGGTAAATAATGTAGAAGCTACATACTATATTGTGTTGTATTTTACCTCCAAGACTGGGGTTATGGTGATTGGCCACCAGATTGCTATATCCTCAGTAGTATTCACAGAAATTATAACAGAGAGAGGGCAAATCTGTTGTATTTTTGTTGCTTTAAGTCGAGATATAATAGAGTTAGGATAGAGGGAGGAGAAAAGTAATGTATCCTGCATGAAACTGAGATAAAAAGTTGCATTGCTACAGAATGGGTTTTTGCAGAGTTGCATGTACAGTCAGATGGGCTTTGTTTCCAACTAGAAGCAGCTGCATTTTAGGACAAATTAACCTCAAGAAACTTGAACAGACTGTCCTCATTTCATTGTGAATTAACAGTATTTAGATGACACAGCTTGGCCAAATCACTAACAAGGAGACTATAAATGAATAGGTGAGGCAGCCTTGAATCCTTCCTGTCACAGTAACATGTTTATTCTTTTCTACAGTGGTAAAAACAGTAAAGCAGAGCAGAAGAAAACAGAGACCAAGCAGCCACATATCCCTCTTGTAGATTCTGGCATTGCCCCGAGTCTTGGGTGAGTGTATAAGTGTGTTTCCTTAAAGTTTTAATTGCGTTGATGAAAACTCTTAAATACCACCTGTGGACTTCTGAAGTCAAAGGGAGTTTTTGTTGTTATGTTTAGGTGATCTGTGGTTTACTTTCAAAGTTCCTATCAAGTCTTTGCAATTATGGTGTAATCTCTCCAGAAAACTGAGCCCACAATGCTTCCTCGCTTACTCACTAATTTATGTGTTTTAAGAAATGAATTCCGAAACTCTGCCAGTGAAATGCTAGAATTTTGAGTGACCTTAATAACATTAAAAGATGCTGTGTTCTAGTTGATATAGAAACATAGCTTGAGTGGGCAGTAATTAAAACGGTTCATTTTATTCATTTCTAAATGCCATGATGAAAAAAATGTCCATAACAGAGAAAAAAACCTCCAAAGTTATGATAACATACAACAGATTATTTGTGACCAGAAATATTTTGCTCATCTAGGATCACATTCATGACGGAGACACAGACATCCTTACATTTGTTTCTGAGCTGTTAGCGTACAGCCTCCCTGAAACGAGTGTTAGAAAAAACTACAGTTAAATGACTTAATGTTAGAGGTGTCCTGAGAAATGATTTGAAGGTGTGTTTGTGTATTAGAGTGTATGAGGGTGTGCTTTACATCAGCTTGAAGGAGGTGATCCTCATTTTGTTTGTCTGAGAGCGCTGCCTAGCTACACTTGCACGTTGGATAAAGTTTTTGAGTATTTGTCGTCACTGTGTTTTGTTAAAGAGCGTGCACAAACAGTAACTTCTTCAAGCATTCACTCTTTACTGTAAGACACATGCCCTCAAACCTGGTCAGAGTGTAGATGTTTGGAGGCTGTGTGCAGGCTGACAGGAAACCTGGAGGAGAATCTGAGAGCAGTAGTCAGAGCTGTCAGCACTCTTGTGTCCAATTAGATGGTCGGGCCTCTGTTGAGCACTGGCAGGCTGTCTGTACTGCCAGTTGTTGGAACCAGGTGTTTTTGGATACCCCTCCTCCCAATACTGACAGTCCATCCTGCCAGCAATGTTCTCCAGCTCTTGACATGAAATACTGTTACTGCAAAACTGTAGACATACTTTATGTGTACTCCCACCTGTTGAAGACAAGACAGACAAAGTGGGAGCTTGACCTAGATCTGTTAATCCTGATACCAGTCTTACTTCATCAATGGATATGAGGAAATCCTTCTTGTTTTGTGTGATTATTGGATATTGAGATGATCAACTTTCTACTCAGAAAATTTACTGCATATTAACTAGCGGTGGGAGAAAAAATATAGCATATAGCATAGTATCGCGCTATTTTGTCTGGTGATATCTCGTATCGTCTCATTGACCAGTTATCAATTTTTTCAAAATTAATTGTTAGTATGAAGTCAAATCTATGATAATGGAAAAATAAAATCAACTTTTTGTCCAGGTTTGCAAGATGTGCTACATGAAAATAAAAAACAGCGTGAATAAGACAAACATAAAAGAAAGACAAATGCTAAATTAGCTAAACAGTTGAAAAAAATGTATAAATCTCAACTTAAAGGGGACCTGCCACCAAAATTTCATACCCATTTTTATCATTTTTTCATAATCCTTGATGTCCTCTGATCATGTTTGCAACATAATTTTAGCTGAAAAGTTATTTGAAGGTTTGTTTTAGTATGCCTAAAAAACCTTACAGGAAAACCAACTGATTTTGGCTCATTAACATTTATGGTAATGAGCTTTGCTCTGATTGGATCGCTGCTGTGAAGCCTGCTGTGCTCTGATTGGCTCAGCAGTGGAGGTTCGGATTTTGGTTTATCCATTTTGCTAATGTGTGCTAAAGTAAGGTGCCCAGATGTCTGTAATGATATCCGGGGATATTTGGTGTGGCAGCAGGGAGGGTGCAGAGGCTGTGTGATCACAGACAAAATCTTGGTACTATTTAGTAGCAGCGCATGCCCCTTGTAATAACCCCTTAAAAACTGTTGTTCAGGACTGCTTACTTGTGCTTCCTACCTATTCGGCTACTGTAATAACCGTTGTTCGAGCCCACACACAACATTTTTGCTCTCATTCATGAAACGCTTAAATCGGGGACATTTTCAGGGACAGCTTTTGCCGGGGACAGGTCATCCAATACGGGGACTGTCCCTGGAAATCGTGGACGTCTGGTCACCTTATGCTAAAGGCTAAAAATGGCAGGTATTAAACCATATATTTTAGACCCCGAGTCCGAAGAGGAGGTGGAAGTTGAAGAGGAAGCCGGAGATCTCCAGCGGTGTTTTCATTCATTCTATATATCTTCCCATAGTGGATACAGTGGTAGCAGGGTCTCGCTCTGGCTGGAGAGTGATGTTGACTGTGACTGGGTACAAGAACGAGAGAGTGGGCACGGCTCACCGAGGACGCGCTCGTGAATAATAATGAGCAAGGTCAGCGCGACGTCAGAGGGACCTGCTTTTTCAATTGGCCTGGTTTACCCGTTCTTTATTTTAAACCTTTACAGAATGCAAACGACGTAACGGTTTGTTTTCACATTTACAACATAAGAGGAACATAATATGGACCCTATCTGACACAAAAAACACACAAAATTACATTTTTGATGGCAGGTCCCCTTTAAGGTATCGCAATACTCACTGTATTGCAAAATGGTAAAAATCACAGTAATATCGTATCGTGGCCCAAGTATCGTGATAATATTGTATCATGGGGCCACTGGTGATTCCGACCCTAATATTTATTTACTGACTTTTATTTATCAATCAGCTTTTAATGAATCATTCTGAGTTCAAGTCATGCTTTCATCTGTCTTTATACACAACCAGGGTTATATAAGTTGGCTGATTATAGTTTTAACTTTGCCGTGGTAACTATAGTAACGTCGAGCTAGTGTTTTGGGTTAGAAGAAGAGAAAGAAAAAAGAAGCATTGTAGGGGGAAGGTTTTGAGGTTGAAGGAATGCAAACTGTAAATGAGAGGAAACTCACACACTGTGGCTCCTAGGACAAATGTCATCGTTATTGTTAAAGGGATTTCTGTTGGTAACTGTAGGAGAGATTCAAACTTTTAGATGCAACCTGTTTTCAGTATCTCTGCAAAGTACATGATTGAGCTGCTCGCTGAACTTTTTACATGGCATTGCTCCCAGTCTTATCTGACTCCATGTGTTTGGCTCAGGATGAAAGAGGAAAAGACAAACTGGTGGCTCTAAGAAAGAAAATGTGTGACATTAATTTACATATATAGATAGTTGTAAGATTGATTTATCCCATATCTTGTTCAAAAACACACACTATATCTTAACAATTTAGTACGTCATCAGCGATATTGTTACATCAGCGTCAGTCATCTTTCTCGGTTTTGTTTACCTGTCACGCGCATTGGGTAGATGAAGCCTTGTCATTTTCTGGGACTTTCTTTCAATTTGTGCTGAAAAAGATTTAAAGCTTTAAGTTTCACACTCGGCTAACACAGTGACATCTGGTGGCTAGTTAAACTAAAGCCAGCTCTTTCAGTGATGGTCGGAAACACAGACACAGCTCTCTTTTATTCATAGTTTTATTTATTCATTTTGACAAATTCATATTCTGAAAGTGTGCACATTTTGAAATAAAACTATCCGTGTATCTGCTTACCCACTCGTTCTATATATTTACGTGTAAGTTTTTGACAAATAACTCTCTAACCCAGTAACAGTAGGTCAGAGGGGAGATGAGAGCAGGAAGTCAGAGCAGTGTCTCAGATTCAGTTCACGCTTGTTCTGTGTTTAATGTCTTTCTGAAATGAAACCTCACTGAATAAAATTGTCCTTAATTATCTCATTTGCTTTTATTTTGGTGTTTGTGTTAGCTCAAAAACAAATAGAGAGCCATGAACAGATTGTTGAATATTTATTAGTTTTTGATTCCTTTACTTCTCTTTTAAACTGGGTGCTGTGTTTGTTTTGACATGTTAATTTCAGCCCGTAGTAACATGTTTGCTCCCCTGAGCATTGTTGCGAAGTTAAGTTATCGAACACTTTCTTACTAAAACTCTCAACATTTCAATAAGTCATCTTTAACTCTTACTTTGGAGTTTTTTTTCTTCATTCCCTGCAGGACTGGCTGCAAAATGATTTCTTTGTCACGTAGGTGGGAGGCAGTTCAAGCAATACACACTGGCTGTCCCTCCCCCTTCAGTCACAGTTTATTAGGCTGAGTAGATTCAGATTTGTCTCTCATGCCACACCGAGCTGTGGCTTATAAAAGTTATTATCACAAGGGGGCGAACCTTAGTGCTGACGAGGCGTACTGCCCTCAATTCCCCTTAATAAGTGGACCTCACATCTTGGTGGCTGGTTACTTTGGATCTAAAGAATAACCTCTGCACCTAAAGCTCCTCACGAATGTGTCGCCATTATGCAGACATATTTGGCATGTTTTTAAGTAAAGGTTTTAATGTGTTTGAAGCAGGGACTTACATTTGCAGACTTTCCCTTTTAAGTAATTTAGTCTTTTCCTCCCTCTCTCCCTCCTACAGGCTGAAATTTCAATCCAATCCCACTCTGAAATATTTATACCCTCCTCCTTCTAATGGCGTCCTGACAAACATAACACACGCCCTCATCAGCGTTCCAAAGTTTTATGTTCAAGTGAGTAATTTCTGCTTTTTTTTCTCTCTTTTCTTATTTTCATACATTACCGGCATGTTGGATGTGTTTCACCTCACACTGTCCCTGCTCCTCCATCTTTTTTTCTGAGCAGAAATGCAAATGTGCCAGCATCTCTAGTCCTTAGATCCATGTTGTAAAATGGAAATATGATTCTGGAATAAGTGTCCCAGAGGTTTTTGAACTGCATCCAACCTCTTAAAGATCAAACAGCAAACATTTGCCTTTTAAATTTCAATTTGGGGAGCAAGTATTAATAATAAACCATAAGTGGGAGGCATGAGTTATGGGTTTAACATTTCCCTGGGAGCTGTGCTGGGTTGCGTGGATACTCAGCGCTGCTACTCCCAGCGTTGGCGCCTTGGTGGTGCTGGTGTGTCACAGAGAGGCTGTTTTCCTGCTCAGCCCTGCTGCTGGTATCTCACTTCAGCCTCAATCTCACCTTGATCCTTGTATTTTAAATGAAAATGCAAAAGCCTTGCAATCTGTTTTACATATGGAGCCTGAGTTACAGGCTGGCTGTTTGAGAGGAGCAGTTTATTTATACGACCTGCACCCACACAGTTCCTTCTGTGAATCTGGAGATGCATCTAGCTCTGTTTTAATGCTCATTGCTCGGTTTGCACAGGTACTGCATCTAACGAACAAGATGAATTTACCTTGTCCGTTTGGCCCAGTCACTGCCAGACCCCCCATGGTAAGCCCTTTTCCACAGTGTGAGTGATATCGAAATGCTTTCCATGAAAAGTGTCTGATATTTATTGCTGTAAATGTGGTTTATTTAATTTTATTGTAATTACAGTTTAAATATTTAAGTGTCATTGAGTGTCATACAAAAGCATTGACTCACCGGCAACTCCTAAGTCAATTCCTGAATCAGTGTTTTTGTCAAAGGAGTCTGGGTACTCAAGCATGATTAAACTACATCCGGTAACTTTTATAAGATAAGATATTCCTTTATTTGTCCCACAAGGGGAAATTCCAAATTTACAGCAGCGATAAATACAAAAGAGAAATTAGGAATGAAGAAAACTTAAGAGTTAAAAGATATTTAAAAAAGATATATAAGTGAGTGTTATTTATAGCTGTTTAAGTCAGTATTGTCAAAAAAAATTTTTAACTCACTAAAAAGAGAAAGAAATCACATATTTTAAATGATAAAGTACCTAAACAGGCAGAATCTGCAGTAGTTTAATTTCCTTTTAATAAAGTTCTGCTAAATGAAATTATAAGTACCAAAAAAAAAAAAAAAAAACAATGACTGAAGTTGAAAGAAATCAAACTGGACTTTGTTTCACATAATTAACAAGTAAAAGTTAGGATGTTTTCTGGTGTGCAATATCTTTTGATATGAGTAAGATTCTGCCTTTGCTTTTACCGTCTTTGCAGTGCGCTGCATGCGTGGTGTTATGTAACACAGAAAGAGACTGAGTCTGCTGCTCTGTCACTGTGAGTGGGTCTACCACTTATCCATAGAAACACTGTGGAGCGACACGAACACTGAGCACTGTGCTGTAAAAATGGCGACTCAATGAAACCTTGCCGGCAACCTGGCAAATCTATTCCTCAATTGTCAGAACAAACCTGTTTATACTCATCCAAACTTCCTGTTGTTAACTTAACACTTAACAAAGTGTTAATAATAGTTAATAATAGTTTTTTAATAACTTAACAAAGATAAAATAATACTCAGATTAATAGTCAGATGAAGCCCAAAAACCTTCACCACCTCTGTGAGTTGTCTTTAATTATAGATGTAGGGGTTAGCAGCAGTAAACACAGGGTCAGATCAGTTTAAATTGTTATGATTTGAAACTCTTTTGCTGGAATAACTGGGCTTAGCACGTACCTCAGCAGAGATGTCCCTTCATAAAGCCAGTGAAATTCCCTCAGGGTGTTTTCAATCCTAGCTGTCTTGTTTGTTTCTGCAGTATGAGTTCTTGCCCCCTGCCCCACCCATTCCCATGCCCCCTCCCTTCCCCCCTGATCTCCCCCCTCCACCTGAAGAGGAGATGGAGGTGTCCAGTGAAGAAGAATCAGAGTATGAGAGTGAGGACGATGAAGACAGTGAGAGGTGAGGAGACTATAACTGCTCTAGTTTGCAATGTGAATTCAAATACCATCTATTTCATGACTTTTTGATTTCTATTTCTGCTTGGTTAAATATTTTTTAAATGTTTTTGTCCTCTATAATTTAGCTTTTATTTTCTCTTTTAAATATGCCCAGTTTTTTAATCGGCATTCATTTTAAGGGTTGTGCAATAATTGTCAGAGGTGAGACCCAGAAAAGAGAAAAAAAATGTGACGCAGTAAAAAATCTAAACATTGTTTCCTTTTAAAAAAATGTAATCAATGATAAAACATAAACAACCAAAACATAAAGGACTCATGTCAGTAAGTCTGCTTGTGTTTTAGAGTACAGAAACTTAAAATGTTTCATGTTTAATGTTTTTTTATTTAATTTACTTTAGCAAAGGAACAGATTTTAACTTTGAGTTGTTGCCCTTTTTTATGATTTGAGTCACCATATATGATTTAAACTTTACTTGAAGAGAAATGTCCTGAAGCCTGATTTGCTTTGTCTGAGGTAGACGTTTTCCTTTTATCCTCTGTCTTGCTTTATTTTAGGATTGCTCGTCTGATGGGTCTGGTCAACCAAGCATGCAAGAGACCCCTGAGACCAAAAACATCTTCAAAGAGAAAGAAACCCAAGATCAAGGATCTACTCTATGCTCCCAAACCAGACTCTCAAAGGTATACCGGGCCACTCATGCATGTCACAGTCCTCACGCACAGCTCATCTCCAGACGGTAATCATCGGCAGCTAAAAGAGGATGACAAAAACCTCCAGACAATAAGTCCTTCTCATAAACACTGCCTTGTGTAGCTCAGAGACTTCTTGTCTTAACAGCACACACGCACACACTCCCTTAATGACTGACCGCAATTCCTGTAACCTATAAATACACACACACACACACACACACACACACACACACACACACACACACACACACACACACACACACACACACACACACACACACCTGAGCGTCTCCCAGCTGCATGATAGTGAACTGGGAAATATCTGCGGTTGACCAGAACATGATATCAAGCCCTTAAGCCGCTCAGTGTCGGCTTTATTGTGGGTTTGCTTTAGGGGTTGCGGTGCGGCGTGGTGGTGATTGTGTGTCTTTCCTCAGTGCTCCGGTGCTGCAGCCCTCCGATGTGTTTGAGCAGCCCCTCCCTGCTGGACCCAAGAAAATAGAATTCCATATTTCGGTTCCTGAGGTGGCAGCCATCGTGGAAGGAAGCGGGCCTGGTCAGCCTGGTGAGGAAGACAAAGGTAAAGGTTCTGTTTGTACGTCTCTACATATGCTACCTGTTACCTTCGTGATTAATCTAACCATGCAGCTGTCAGTCATTTGTGTCTTTTTCTGATTGTGACCAAGCTAAAGCTGATGGCTGTGAGGTTCTTGGATTATTCTAAGCTCATGCTTCTTCGTTTGTACCTCACAAATTCTGTCCTTCACCTTTCTGATTAGTATGAATACTTTTATTCTGCAAGTCTGTTTTTGTCATTGAATCCAACCATTTCTAGTCAGAGTGCCAGTCAAATATCTTTTAGGTTCTTGTACTGACCACCTTGAAGCTCCAAACTCCCATAATATTAAACTCGCACATACAGAGACAGTGAATATTTGGCATTTTTTGGATGATAAAACAGTAGTTATCACCCAGTAGTTATCATACTCCAATAAAAGTGAATAAAAAAGGCAACAGTCATAATTAGAGTTAATTTGATTCTGATAGAAATTGCACCGATACTGCCGAAAATGCTGGCATCCGTATCAGCAAGTACTGGAGTCCAGGCACCGATCTGATACCACGTAATTGATTAAATTAGTAATTTATTAAATAAGTAATTTATCAAATTAGTAATTTATTAAATTAGTAATTTATTTACTGGCTAGCTCTGTTAGCTCTGACACAGTTCTTTTTTGCTGATATTAAATAGCATTGGTCATGTGACAGACGCACAGCATCAGAGCCAGACACAGTTGACGAGGCCCGGACCCAATTTAATTAAAAAAAAAAAAACAACAACATAAATTCCTAGATTTCTATATTTATGTTGCCACTGCACTGCTGTTTTATACAGTTCTATTTGTTTCTATTTCCTTTTGATTTAAAAAAAATTGTGGCTGCCTTTTTTTTAAAATAATTATTCCTAAATTCATTTAGTTGAATTGCATTTGCTGTTTTTTAAACTGTTCTATTCAAAAATAAATGGCTTGAATTTTCTACAAAGGGTTTAACCTGAGCGAGAGCTTACCACAATGATAATCATAACACAATCATCAAAGGCCTGGTATGATATATATATTTTTATAACATACTGGTATCGAATTGGTACTCGGTGTTGGCCGATACCTGCAGCACAAGTATCTGTATCGGGACAGAAAAAGTTGGTATCGGAACATATCTAGTTATAATATATCCCCTCGGATTATTTAGTTTGTCCAAACAGCATCAACTTTAACAATGTAACTTTCACTAACATCCAATGCAGAAAATTCACTAACAAATTGTTCCGAAGCTGAATCCTGCAGTTATTTGGAGTTTGTGTTTATAGCAAACAAAACAGGTGTTGATTGATTTTCTGTCCAGTGACTAATTGATGATTCCTTTTTTTGTTCCCTCCTTAAATCGGGATCAATATCCACTTTTTCCTCACATTTAACCACTAATGATTCTATGCATCTTGGGAAAGAAAGCAAATTAGGCTCAAAGTCAAACGTTTAAAAAAAAATACTTCTTTTATATAATGAGCCCAAGAGTCTGCACATAAACTGGAAAGTCAGGATATAAAGTCCACTTTGGTTTTAAGGAGCAATGACTCTGTGAGGGATTTGATGATTACCACACATCCTGTTTATTCTAACGATGAAAAAGAAGCAGGTTGATTGAAATCATTAAAAGTCTCTATGGCTGAAGTTGGAGCCAAGTGTTGCCCAGCGGTATATCACAGTTGAAGAAGCTGAAGCTGGCACAGGGAAGAGTTTACGACTATCTATGTGAGGAAATGTCATTGAGGGCAGAGTCTGTGTTACTTGTCATCTGTGCAGTTCCCTGTTTTTCTTATCTTACCCCTCTCTAGCTACAACTCCACTGCCTGGCAAGCTCCCGAGGAGTAAGATAGATCTCAAAGTCAAACACAAAAGATTTCCTAAAGGCAGGAGAAAGATAAACTATGACAGGTGGCTTTTTGGATTAGTCTTGTTTTGCTGAAGAAGGGGAGGGAGCGAGGGAGGGGCCGAGCGATCCGATAAACAAGCCATTTAAATGAAAAGGGGGAGGTGGGGAATAGATAAGGAGAAGGATAATTTTGAAGGCAGTGATCTAGTTCTCCACAAGAGTGTATCAGAAAAGCTCCCCGACACTCCTCGCTCCACTGCATGCGCGCACACACACACACACACACACACACCTTATGTGGATGACAAGCTTTTCTTCCTCCTTGGATTTGTACAGGCTCACTGCTCTTAGTAATTCCATCTAAGGCCTGTTTGTGTGTGTGTGCCAGAGTTCTCCTTCACTCTGCCTTTCAAACTCATGTTTCCCAAACAGGACAGGGTTTTGATTTGATGACAGCTTTTTATTCAACACAGAGTGAGTGTGTTGACATCTTATCTTCTTTTGATCACCAGGAAACCAGTTTTCTCTTAAAGACTTACTCCATCTCTTTTAAAGTGGGGCCCTATGATTTTTTCATAATGAAGGGTCTACTGATTGCTAAGAGGGCTGAGAAGTTTTGGAATTGCTCCAGTAAATTTCCCCTGCTGTGATGATTGACACTGAAAAGGAAAGGATATATTTTTTTGTATAACTCCTCCATTTTAAGAGGATTACCCAGGTCAGTTTGGCCCCTTTGTACAGAAATAGAGTGGATGCAGCACTGTTGAAAATGTACAAACCCATAGTTTGTATATACTATGGACAACTTGGTTCCGCCTCCCGCCTGTATATGGATTTAAAGCCAAAAAGCTCTCGGTATTTCCGTGATTTTTCTTCATTTCCTGAAACCTGCCCTGCGCAGTAGCGTTGCGCACGTTCAGCGGGAGAGTCGCAGTTGCAGTGATGACGCTCGGCTCAAAAAGCGTATCCCCCTGGTGAGCTACGCAATCCCTGAACACCAATAGGCTATATCAGGTGTCAGTCAAAGAAAAAACATGAACCCCCTAACAACTTTTAAAAAACGGAGCTTCACAGAAAAAAAGAGGACTTGAGCAAAAACTAGTCTGACAGTAACTATATGTCAACACTGCAAGCAGGGGGGAGAAAAATTTATGTACTGTGTAATAAATTTCTAAGTTTGTCCACAGCCTCATAAGCTTTGCTGGCAGAGGCGGGATTTATGACCTATACTGCAGCCCATCAACAGAGGGTGCTGTTCTCAGAGTGGCTTCACCCAGCAAGGAGGCAGACGCTGTCCATTCTATATACAGTCTATGATTTCACCACATAATTTCACTGAATTTAAGAAACTGAGCCAGTTTAGATGTGAGCTACCTTTAATAAATATCTCACACCAAACCAACATTTTTAGCATTATTTTCCCATACATGTGTAGCACCACCTGCAGCACACTGATCAGCTGTCCAGCATACAGTGTGTTTCAAAAACTGCTGCCAAAAGTGCCAAAAGTGTGGCTCATAATCTATATGACTGTGAGCCAAGCTAAGAGGCTTGTTTCACCTCTTTTCATCCTCCTGTTCCCAGATTAGCAAAAAGCCATCTGTACAAAACAGTACAATACAAAAACATTATTGATCCCTAAAGCACATTTCTAAAAAGATAGCCCTGCACAACCATAAAGAGTATAAAACCAGTTTGCAGCGTAGAATATTACAGAGAGTATTGCACAGTTGAACAGATTATTGCACAGTGTAGCTTAAAAACTATTCATTATTAGCATTTCTCTCTCAGATTTTTGAAGTTTGGACCAGATTGCACAGTTGAATGTAATTGTATGAAGTAGAGTAACTTAAAACAGAGCATTTCACTGCAGCGATCAACTGAGGAAATTTCAAAACTTTGCAATACCTACTGGTCATGTTTGGCCCTGAAATATGTCAAAAATAAATGAGTGTGAGTCAAACAGGAAAAGACATTTATCTGGACATAAGAAGTCATCTTTTGTATTAAGGTCTGATTATGAAAACATTATGTTTAACCTAATTAGTATATGTATAGTATATATTTGAAGCGTCACTATTTTAAACTAATTGGACCGAGAAGACTGGCTTCCACTCTCCCATCTTGAGCTTGTTTGTTTTGCTGAAGAGGATAAACAGTGTGGAAGAGATTATTTCACCATCTGCTTTTGTTAGACACTTTGAAAACTTCCATCTGTATTTGTTCTCAAGAGTGTGTGTGTGTGTGTGTGTGTGTGTGTGTGTGTGTGTGTGTGTGTGTGTGTGTGTGTGTGTGTGTGTGTGTGTGTTGTAAACCAATCCACCAGATTCAATTAGTGTATGTCTACACAATATGCACATAGACTGGAGCTCCTCTCAAATATAATGAATAGGCAGCTTGATGAATGATTTTAATGTGCTGATATGTTGTGAATATGCTCTGTGTTCTTGTAGGTGGTGATGAGAGGAAGCTCAGTCAAGATGGAGCAGAGACTGAAGGGTTCGGGAAGCTTTACCCCACCGCCCTGACATCGCAACAGCAGGAGGAGCAAAGTGATGACGAGAATGATCTCCCCTCAGATATCATCTCCAGGAAAGAGCTGGAGAAAGGACGCCTGTCAAAAGATGGTAAACATTTCATCTTCTAGCGCAGCGATTGTACCCTAACCAGAAGAAAGGTGCTCCGTCTGTGGGGAGTTTTACTGTTTTCATGTGGCTTTCCAAACCCAGACACATGAAAGTTGGTGTCTTTTAGGTAAGATCATTAAAAACACAACTACTCTTGAAGGAAGGGTTTTAAAAAAAGGCCCTGACTTTCAGTTTGAAGGTTTAAAGGTTTCCCTTTTGTGCTTTCAGCAGGCATCCAAATATATTTTCAAGCAGGAAAAGAAGTGTTTGTTGCAGGCTGACGCCGAACCCAAAAGTTTGAACATTTTTCAGTTTCAAACATCCCCACGATTGTTTTACTCTCTTTAGATTTTTGTCTGTGTGTAAGCGACGCAGCAAGAATGGAAACAACAGCTGTAGTTTCTTTGAAATGCATATTAGGAAATTTTGGCAGTTAGCGTGAGCAGTGAGAGCCATCACGGCTGAACAATAATGAAAAGCGCCAACCGCAGAAAAAGCTCCTCTTCCTTCAAGTTAGTGGAGCTCTTACTGAAAAAGTTTAACATCCTGTTCTCTTTCTCAAATTAAAGTCATGCCAAGAGAGTAGAGACTGAGGAGGGATGCAGAATCGTTCTCTGTCTGAGGGAATGGTGGTAATAAGCTTCTGCCTGTCCTTGGTGTCTGAGAGTGACTTCCTTCACATGTGCACTCCTGAAATTTTTACAACTCTACACCTGAAATTTTCCACTTTTGTTTTTTTGCACATGTCCCTTTTAAACTTGAAGTCCTCTCTGCAAGACGGGGGAGGGTGAGTCAAGGGAGTTAGGTCATGACTTTAAAAGACACGCTGTGAAAGTCACAGTAGCTGCATTTACATGGGCACAAATAATCAGAATAAAGGCCCAATCCGAATAAAATGCATCATGTAAACATGTCAATCGGATAATTCTGATCCAAGTTGGCTCAATCAGAAAGAAATTGTATTCCAATGTAGAGGGGTGGTTTATGCATTATTCCAAAACACATCCGTGTAAACACTTATACCGATCGTCACTATCTTACCTGACTCGATCTTCACTCTTTAGCCTTTGGCTTTTTATTGAGGCCAGGACAGGAGGTTTCATTTTTAACACTCTGGCATATACATAGACTGTTTATAGAATGGACGCTGTCTGCCTCCTCACTGGGGGAAGCCACTCCGAGAACAGCACCCTCTGGTGACGGGCTGCAGTATAGGTCATAAATCCTGCCTCCGCCAGCAAAGCTTTAGAAATTGGATACATTTTTTTCTGATCCCTCAAACTTTTAATCGGATCAAGAAATTTTGCACATGTAAACATGACTAGTGTAATGTTAATAACATGATGGAGAACCAATCGAGACTGACACAATGTAAACAGATGTATGTGCAGACATCCTAAAAATGATTCTCCTTCTTAAAGCTGAGATAGATTTAATGACAGAATGAGTAGAGGCTCTGCTGGGTCTTTATCTGTCACAAACTGGTGCATTTTTGATTATTTTTTTTAGGCTTGATGCATTTGTCTCTTCCAGATAAAGGACTGTTGTATGGGGGAAAAAAGTAAAAACAAAATAAAAAATAGATTCAGCAACTTTCTCTCCTAAACAGTCCAAGGCCCACTGTAGTGATGATGTAAAATCAAAATGTCTTTATTTCCTTAACTCAACACATCGCAACCTACTCAGGTCTCCATCAGGACCATCGTCAACAGTGAATGTTTTTTACCTATACAACAATACTATCTATGGAAGAGCAAAAACAGATCTAGCCTCAGATCAATTCTGTTCATCCTGTCATGTATGCCTTTTAGCTTTGTGCTGATTTCATCTTAAAAATGTCATCATCATTCAGCCACACGTTTGCAGTGATTTCTCCTGAATATTTTTAACGTATTTCACCCTGATGTAGATATTTTACAAAAGGAGGGCAGGAAAAATGCCAGATAAATGGAGGTGAAAATGAAATGTTTCCATTTACGTTTGCGTCAAACATTTGAGGAAGTTTTTAAGAGTGAGTGCATACGTAAACACAGCCCAACAACAGTGACTGGGCCTGAATGCACAACATTAAAATCAACAAACAGCTGTGTTAATAAACCTAAAATGGTACAGTATTGTTACACCAAATCAAAAATACATAAAGCATATATACTTACATCAATAAAACATTCCTCATCCAGAAATATCTGAAACCTGCACCTTTTTATTGTCCAGCAGAGTATGAGCCGTCGTCTTACCTCTGTTCATACTTTCCTAATGACTGTGTGGTTTCCAGCTCTAGTGTTTAGTCTTCCTCAATACAGTATGATGTTTATTTTGTTAATCATGGTCCCATTTAGAGTCAAGACAACAATCAAAAAAACTCCTTAAAACGAGTGTCCAACAGATTCTAAATGAGTCTGAATTTAGATTTTTCTAAATTTGAGCTTATGATTGTTATCTCAATGATTTCTTTACTCTATTGTTATAGTGAGGGTTCAAGGCAGTGTTGCATAATGCACCCAAAAATCAAAGGTAGAGAAGAAGATCAGAAACAGAGAGTGTAAAGAAACCTGGCAAGAGATGAAAAAGAAATGTTGGGATAGAAACTTAACAGCTGTTAGAACTATTGTTTATTCTCCTTTGCAAAAATGGTTTTGATCAAATTTTTCTTCATTTTGGTTCTAAAATGTCTTAAGTTTGATTTTAAAGCAGTGATTCTCTGTCAAATTAAATCTCTTGGATCCACCCTCAGGATTTTTCTTATTTCAGTATTTTAGTTCTGATTACAAGCGAACAGAGAAACGCAAAGAGCTGAAAGCGCACGTGTAAAAATAGATCATTATTAATAACCTTCATGTATGTATTTACCTTAAACCATTAAAGAAGATTTGTTTTTCTCACCTTTTCAACCAAAAAGGCACAATCTTTTTTTTATGTCTTCAGTATTTGTGTCGTTTATGAGCAAGATCATTCTCCGGTGTTTCTTTAGTGCTGTCATCTACTGACACACAACTAAGGCATGCGTTTGCTCACATACAGCAGCTGTGATATAAGTTAAATATAAAAATAAACCGTGAAAGTTTGGATCAAACATCATTTTATTACATTTATCTTCGTGCATCTCTGATGCCTCAGTCCAGCCTGTCTTTGAATCAGTCTTTGTGCAGGAAGGCAGAGACAGCTCTGTGATGCTTTGTTCCTGTTTATTAAATCTGTTTTTTCTGCCTCTCTTTTCAAACAGAGATAAAAAGGATGTCTGTGTTTAAAAATTATGAACCTGGAGAGCCAACCTGCAGACTATACGTGAAGAATATCGCAAAGCAAGTGGAGGAGAAAGTAGGTGCATTTATAGCACTTGACCCACTTCTGTTTTTCACTTAACTTTAATGAATATGACCTTTATCCAGGAGCCTTCACTTCTATATGCCTCACAGCTCTATTTTATTTAATGTCCAAGAATTTTCTTTTTTTTATTGAATTTTGCTGTTTATGTGAAATTTTTTCAGTTCAGATGATGAATCAGCTTTTTTCCTTCTTCAGGAGCTGAAGTACATCTATGGGCGATACATCGACCCTTCATCTGAAGCTGAGAGAAACATGTATGTAAACAGCAGATGATCTTTATCACATATAGACACACTTTGTTTGTTACTGTACTCTGTCTTGTCTTTAGGAGTTATTTTTGACCGGCGTAATTGTTCCTTTCCCCCCGAGAGTTTGTAATTCATGCTGACTGTGTGTCGTGATATTAATAAGACTCTAACCTGACGCAGGGATCATGAGGGACATTTTCTGTTTGTGCATCAGCAGAACTTGAAATGAATATTCCACCTGAGTTATCAAGCTGAGATTGTGTGGAGTAGTGGGCCAGACTAAGCACAGGTGTAGATGATAAACACAAGAATACAGCTCTGCTGGACTCAGTTTGTCCTTCATGCACCAAAATCCAAATAGTTTGAGGGTAAAAACAGACTCTTTTTACTCCTTAAAGGGATATTCTGGCATAAATTTAAGTCATGATCAAACACACCGTAACACAGAGTTAGACACCCCCTTGAGAGATGAATGTTGCCTACTCCTTGCTTCTGTAGTTATACCAACTTTAGCAACAACCGCACGATAGCAATACACAGCGGTCTATGTCTCCACACACAAACTTAAACCTAAAAGCCACTCTATAGCCACAAATAATGCTCAGAACAGCACCTAACGTCATCAACAGTACATATGGGGTCCAAGTCATAGTTCTAGCCATTAAACATCTTTTTAGCTTTGCCTGGTTTCTTTAGCAAAGAGACTAAACACAACTCACCCACTTTCAATAAGAACGAGACGCTAGGGCAGAACAAATACCACATCTGCAGTGTGCAAACAAGATACACAAGAACTCTGATTGCATTTCCATGAAGTAATAATCATAAATTTTCCACTGCACTCGGTGATCGACTGGTCAGGGCTCCCCTACAAACAAGTGGCTGCTGGAGGAGAGTGGGTGAGATGTGTTTAGTCTCTTTGCTAAAGAAATCAGGCAAATGTCAGGCATGTTTAGAAATCTACAGCATCTACTACATGAATATTTATTCAAAAAAATTCACCTGTAACATGTTTCTGGTCATGTTGTAAACCTGTTATTATGTTGTGGTTTATCAAACCCCCTCACAAAAACATGATATCTGTTTTACATACCCGCTCTCTGATTGTCCACATCAGTCTTTGAACAAACAACATTGGTCCAGCATTTTAATTGTATATGATTATTATCTTGTATTCATTCAGTATTATAGTAAGTTTTTGTCCTGTGTGTTGGACAGTGAAAACTTCTGCCAACACTGATGGACTTTCTTTCTGAGAGTTGGAGGCTGACTGGCAGTAAAGAAGTACTCTCTTTATCATCCAACCTTTATTGTGATATCTAATTTTAAATGTCAGTATAGCCAAACCCACTGCTCCCTCGGCCTCTGTCATTAATCTGGATTTGTGTTGATTCGCTCAGACATCATGATCATTAAGTATAGGTCATTGTGGCAGCCTGAGAATTGTTAACATTTAGTATTTAAATCTGAGGTTGAGTTATGGTTTTGAGCTCACTCAGATGTTCAAGAACAAAAACAAACAACTTCCCTGAATTTGACTTAATTAAACTGTTTGATTACCTCTTAGAGGTGGCTGTGAAACACATTCTCAGCATGCAGGATGTATATTTTGGTGTTCACAAAGCTCACATGTAATCATCAATTTTCCCTCAAGACAAAAAAGAGAACAAAAGTGGGTCGGAGCTGACAGCTGGGGAGGGTAAATGGTCTTGTAACAGCACTTTTCCAGCCTTTTGGACCATGCCAAGTGCTTTTACATTATTTCTCACATTTCCACCACATTTGAAACACAGTGCTATAGAAGGGAACCATTAGTATTTTTTTTCCATTTACACAAATTCACACACTGCCATGGCTATGTCACCAGGAGCAATTTGGGGTTTAGTGTCCCACCCAAGAACACTTTCAGCATGTGGCATTAGGAGGTGGTATAGAATCATCGACCTTCTGGTTGAAAGGCAACCGAATTTACCTGGGTGTCACAGTCACCTTGATAAGGCCAGGTTACTCAAAGGAGGACTGTCAGTGGGGTCCTTATCTTTAAAAGTTCAGTGTCCTTTTGTCGGAGTTTCAAATCTGTGAAATCAACCAGTTAGATGAAAAACTGTGTGCATGTTCTTGCAGAAGCAGGTAACGTTTTCCTCAGTAGCTTCTCCACAACTTTGTCTTGTCTCACCCTCAAGCCCTCATCTGATGATGTTGTGTCCCTGCTCTGGTTCTTCCTCAGGTTTGACATTGTGTTAATGAAGGAGGGGCGGATGAAAGGGCAGGCCTTCGTAGGACTCCCCAGTGAGCAGAGCGCCGAGAAAGCCCTGCGGGAAACCAATGGCTACGTTCTGTTTGACAAACCCCTCGTCGTCGTATCCTTTTAATCCCCTGACCAAGAAGAAATAAGGACAAGGGATTTATGAGGGCTGGGAATCCAGGTTGTATGTTGATTTGGAGTGAAGAGCCGTGTACAGATGTAAATTGACCATGTCTATTTATTTAATGGTCAGTTACTCTGGAAAAGCTCTTCAAATGAGAGGCCGCTCATTTGTGAACACAGTGGAGGCTTTTTTTTTATCTCAAATGAGGGAAAAAAATCAGCTCTACTGGCAGAAGACAGCCCTGAGGCACATGGGATTTATTTTACAGATGCCTGGGTTGATTCTGTGGTGAAATATTCTCCTCCTATTCACATCACAGAGACATTTAAAGTGATACCAATTCTTTACCGTGCAATCTTTCTTTATTCCCTCACTTGTTTCTTTCTTTCCCTTAAAATACACAAAGTAAAGACACACTAAAATCAAACTTGGATCAGATGTCATAGGTCATCAGTAAAGAGGCAGGTCAAAGTGGCTGATAACTGAGTGGACCTTTCCTCTCACAGATGTGTCGTTGGCTCTGCTTCTAGGAGGAGCTGGACTAATTTCTGGCAGCCCTGAAGCACCAGCTGCTCCTCCTCCAATAACTGCACATTAACTTTTGAACCTGTCTAATGCAACAAGGTTATTGATTTGATGGTGTTTTAATGCGACACCACCTGACCAATTAGCCTGAGACAGGTCATTAGTGTTGGAGTTCAAAGGATTAACGCTGAAGTCTGAGACGTCCTTTACCTGGAGATGTAGTCGTGTTTGTATCTTAAGTCTGTGAGTTTGACACTTTTTTCTACCAGGAGTATGAAGGGATTTTGTTTGAGACTTTGGATGCACAAGCTGGTCAGACATGCAGAGATATTTACTTATATTTGCACTTTCTTGTGATTTATCAATAACCTCAAATACATTCAGGTGTTGTTTTATCGAGGCGTCTGCCAGCTGGTGACTTGAGGGGTTGTTAGTTCTGCCAATGAGTAAAAGACAAGCACATCCTTCCACAGGCTCCATCAAAGTGGTTTGCAGCCTGAATATGATCTGGATATTGGTGTTTAAAAATATATATATATATATTTATGTTCAAGAGAAATTAATCCTGTTAGACTGTGAGGTTGTTAAAGGGGTATTCTGGTGTAAAATTAAATTACACACCATATCAGAGAATTTCCCAGTTTTGGAACAATAAAGTATATCTATCTATCGATCTATCACCGAGTTAGACACCCTCTTTGAGAGATTAATGTTGCTGACCTTTTGCTTCTCCAGATACACTAACTTAAGTATTGACCACATGATAGCAATACACAGCGGTCTAATACTTCACTTGCAAAGCCCTGACAAGTTTGCACGTGCAGCGGATCATTTCCTTGATGTAATAATCATCATAAAAATCATTTTTCACTGCAGACGTGGTAGTTCTTCTGCCTCAGCGTCTCGGTCTGATTGCATGTCCATAAAGTAATAATCATATATGTTCTTCCTTAAGCTGTGAAACTCTGCTGCATTAGGTGATCGACTCAGCTGTTAAAGATGAGAGGGTGTAACAGGAGCAACGTAACAGGCAGATCAATAACCATTTAGTCTTGATTAGTAAGTTTCTATGATAGTGGAGGGGGGGCTTAATTGTAAACTTGAAATCTGATTACTTGCCCAGCTCTCGTCTAAACTAAGGCTTTCAAATGTACATGCTTTTTTGGATCGTAACTCTTGAGTTTTAGTCGACAGCACTTGCAGTACCACCTTTGTGTTTATTTTCACCTCCACAGTGGACAAAATCATCTCTACGTGTCAAAGCAGCTGCAGTTTCAGGTGTTTAAAATTACCACTGGGAGTCTTGACAGTCTTGATTGCATTGAAAATCCTCAAGGTCCTAGGTCAGTACTCAGAGGTATGCTGCTTACTGTAATATCTATGAACATCAAACTGGAATCTGGCTTCTGAACTAGAAAAACACAGCTGTTAGTGTGCTTAGCTTCCATTTCAATGTTGAAGATTCTTCAGGGTGTAGTGGCTCAATAATCTTGGTTGTTTTCTTTTTAAATCTTTTCAGTTTTTTATTTTCTTTAAACTTTGAATTAGAGCAGTATTTTTTCTGCATTTTGCTGCTCTAAATCTAAGAACAAGTTCTTCAAGTTTTCTTCAGATGCTGCTAATAGAAGTCAGGGTTCTCTGATCCAAGGTGGGGCCATTTTTCTGGTTCAGGTTTAACTCTGTTTGGAGCATCAGAAACTGGAGTACAGGTTCATCCTGGTACTGATGTTTTTTTAAAGCAGTTATGGAGGACAGCCGGTCCCAGTTTAGATTCAGTTTAATGATTTTTTTAGTGCTAGCCTGAAACTGCAGCAGACAGTCCTCACACAGCCTGCTTTTAAAAACGGCTGAAACACCTGCACGGAATACTCCTTTATCAACAAACAGAGCTGCTGTCTGCTTCTCTGAGTTCTCATGTGCTTAAAAGACAAAACAATTCATCAGTCTGAGAAAGGAAGAGACTCACGGAGTTCCTGAGCAACACTCAGGAAATCAAGACACTCTGCGTTCCTTCGGAGGTCTGAGTGTTTTTAACGGATGTCTTTTGGCATTTATGTGCAAACAGCTTTGACCTTTTCATGAATTAAATTCATCTGAGGCGACAAGTGTCTAAGGGAGGAGTGTCCCTCTGGTTAAAAGCTGCTGCTTTTAACTCCAGGACTAAAACATGATGATGTGGGAATGTTTCAGTCTGTGAACTCCTGCCTTCAACTGGAGTCATTTTTAATGAGCTTGCAGTTTTGCATGTGAAAACTTAAAATCTTAAATATTAGTATTTTCAAACCTCTGCAACTTGTGAATTTTGGGTTAGAAATCCTTTTTTTGTAGTAGTAGTAGTAGTAATAGACCACTATAGACTGTTGATTAAAGTCACAATTTTACCGTCATGGACAAAGGCGTAGTTGATCTACTGCATAGTTTTTGTGAGGTGAACTTCCCGCTCACTGTGATGTGCAGCTCTGAGCAGAGATAGTAAGACTGGAGATGATTCACTCCTTATTAATGTTGACTAATTCTTGCACCCTTATTTCTACAAACACTTGAAGTTCTTAAGCAGAAGTCAGCAGTCTTTTCGATTCCTATATGTATGTACTCATATACTGGAGTAATTAACAATGAAAAGCTCAAATTTAAAAGCTTTTACCTGATTATGTCAAACATTTTCAGCTTGGGGACCTTAACTTTGAATTCACAGCAATTTGCCAGATCTGCAAGACCAAAACAACAGACCACAGACAGCAAGAGAGGAGTGAAACAGCGATGAACAGCACAGGTGAGTGAGACCGAAAATTACCAGGTGATGTATACCAGGATGAGGATACACTGAATAATCCTTTAGTTCTGTATAGGAGAGCTCTTGTTTTCTTTATAATGACTTTCTTCTTACATTTGTGTTTACATTTTGTGTAGTTGAGTTGCAGAGGCTTGATTTTGTGGCCCAGCAGAACCATTTGTATCCTTAATGTGGAATATCCTTTGGGGGAAAGGGGGCAGCTTTTTTTCTGGTTATCTGTTCCAGTCAGAAACACAAGCCTTTAACTGTAGTCTCAGTTTTTACAGACCATGTGGCATGCTCTTTTTGTTTTCCACTTTATCTTGTTTTTACTGAAATATTTATGACTCTGAAGTCCGTCGACCCGCCTTAAAATACTTCTCGTTTGACTGAATTTCAGGTGTTGGTGTCAGATGTCATCTTCTTCATTTCTTATTCAATAATAAAATATTTTTTTATTAACATAACCTTTGTCGTGTTTTTGTCCAAACATAAGTCACATTTGCAGCAGTCAGACTATCATACCTGATTATTTAAACTCCTGACAAGCAAGTGAATCAGACTGCTGAGGGTGAAGATCTGGATTGGCTCTGCAGCAGATGGTGAGCTGTCAACACCAACACTGAATCCCAGAGTCCAGAGGAGACAGCAAACAAAGCCTGCAGACTGAAGGAAATTACCAGGCCCGGGTTAGCTTACCTCTACAATCCCTGGCTGTTCCTGTATGTGTGATTACAGAAAGTAAACCACAGAGAGTGAACTTCTCCTCTCAGCAGCCGTCAGAGCTGAAGATTTGGAAATGTGATTGGTTTTTCTCCTCTGATGGTATGAGCTCTGCTGGAGGGGCTCAGGGGCCCATGTCAATCACAGCTCCAGTAAAGATTGGGATGTCTAGTCTCGCCAACCTCTGAAGAGGGAAAACATTAAATTGCTTTTAACTTGGGCAGACACCATTAAGAGCTTAAAAACTGATCAATACATTATTAAATCAATCCTAAAACGTCCTGCCAGCCAATGTAAAGATGCTAAAACAACCATAATATGAGCATATTTCTTAGTTGCTGAATGAAGTCTGGCAGCTGAGTTCTGCACTGAATGAGGTCTATCAGGGAAGTTTGGCTAATAAGACTTAAAATAATCCAGGTCATTCAAAAGGTAGACTTTTCCACGGACAAAATGATAAAAAGAGCCCTGCCTGAAGACCTGAGGACTCGCTGGTCTGTATAATGAAAGCATATAAATAAAGAGATTTAAAAACCAATAAACAAAATCCTTTTTTTGAAACACTACTCGTCGCCACTGCAATATTTGACAACAGGATAAAATTTAGCATGTTATTTGACTCTGGCTGTTATGAGGGTCATAAAACCGTAGTGGAGGAAGATACTGTTGAGATCATCTTTATTATACCCAAGAGGTCATTTGTTGCACAGCTAGCAGCAAGCACAATAAAAGAAAACACATCATCCCATGCAAAACTATTAAAATATCAGACAATCATTTATTTAAGACACCAACAGCAACAGTTACAAATGACTTTTTTAGTCTATTTGTCCTGCTTTTTATTATGCTGAACACAAGCAGCTCAAAGGTCTGAAAAAGAGGGTGATTGGAGTCAGAGAAAATCGACGTAGACTTCTTTAAAATCCACAGTTTTTAGAAGTGAAAAAGCTCGGTCATGATTGTGCTTGAAACTTTTCCACATAACTTGGAGATATTCCAGTCAAACACACTGTAACACCGAGTTAGACACCCCCTCTAAAGATGAATGTTGCCGACTGCTTGCTTCTGTAGTTACACCAACTTCAGTAGTGACTGCAGGATAGCAATATACAGCGGTCTATGTCTCCACGTGCAAACCTCAACCAAAAAGCCACTCTATAGCTACAAATAATGCTCAGAACAGCACCTAACTTCATCAACAGTACATATACGGTCCCAGCCATAATACTAGCCATTAAAAATCTTTTTAGCTCACCTACTCTCTTCCAGCAGCCGCTTGTTTGTGGGGGGGAGCCCTGATGAGTCGATCACCGAGTGCAGCAGAGTTTCACAGCTCAAGGAAGAACATTTGTGATTTTTACTTCATGGAAATGCAATCAGAGTTCTTGTGTATCTTGTGTGTGCACTGCAGACGTGGTAGTTCTTCTGTCTTAGTGTCTTGGTCTGATTGCATTTCCATGAAGTAATAATCATAAATTTTCCACTGCATCCGGTGATGGACTCGTCAGGGCTCCCCCATTTGTGTCTGCTTTTGTTCTTCTGTTTAAGTACAAAGTCATGAAAAACATTTTCATTATTAAAAGAGCTCATGATGTAAATAGAAGGTTGGCTGGTTGGCAGGAGAAGGACAGTTTCCCACTGACTACAGTACCCAGGTATTTGTACTTCTGTACACTTTTCCCGACCATCGATCACCACTGGAGATAAGACAGAGGGATTCTTTTGAAATCAATGGTAACTTTCTCTAGTTTTTTCTACACCAGATCAACAGATAGATTTACAGTATTTCCAAAGCGGTTCAAAGACCTCTTGCCTGTAGTTTTATACATACAAACTAAGTTTGTTTAAGCTGAAAAGAAATTTAAACAACCGATTCAAATATAGCAGGTTAATTTGGCACATCATCCAAAGAAGTCCACATAAGGAAACGTCTGAATCATTGCTTTAGCCCCCCCTGAAATTTAAAGTTAGAGCATACATCAAATGTTGAGCTCGCTGGGATCACATCCATCAATTCTCCACGACAGCTTCCAATAACAGGAATATTTTTTTGTAACTTTTCCATCAAACAGTCTCTCTCCATGAAGTTGCATCCTTTTTCATACGTGGAGCCTCTCTGGTTAAGATCCAGAAGTTATCAGTCACATCTGTGCTCATCTGGTCCGACCTGCAGCTCATACGTCAACGCCAGCGTGAGGGAGGAGTTCCCATCTGTGCCTGACTCTGCCCGCCATCTCAACGATGACAAATGTGCCCCCCGCAGTGGAAATATTGAGAGTTAGCGGGACATTTATCAGCTAACGTTTGAGCAATATAAGAGATAACCTTTTGTAAGTGGACGCAGATAAAGATGTATGTTCTCTCTCTGCCCCATCTCTGTTTAATACTGCAGAGACCCAGAAGTTATATCATCATAATGTGTTTCTTAGTTCAAATTCAACCAGGTGTGCAGTCTGCAGGATGGAGCACATGGATTTCTGGGTACATGTGCAGGGCTGTTGGCTGCCTCTGGGAAAATATGGCCTGTTTTTCCAGGTCACTCTGCATGAATCAAACTTTGCTTTTACCACTTTTGCTAGGTATGACTTGCAGAAATATAAACACAATGTTTACTTTTTAAACTGTTAAAGAAAAAAAAAAAAAAAAAAAAACAGGAACAGACATCATATCTGAGCCCGGGGCCAAAAAGCCTCTCCTGAAACCTTAAATGATGACGCCAATGTCTGAATCTACCTATGGGCTTCTGTGCAGAGTTGTCAAGGTTTTTACCAACTTCTGTTTTGACTAAAACTGAATTTTGATAAACCAAAAAAAAGAAGAAGAAAAAAAAATACAAAAATCCCTCTTTCAATCATTCAGTTTATTCCCCATGAAGCTGCAGAGAAAGTTCCCAAAAAACCTCTGGCACTTTTGGTTCAGGTGTTTTGGCAAAGAGCTGTCTTCACATCAGGGATTCAAACGTGTATAGAAGTTGACTGTGTGGTTAGATTTGGTAGAAAAGTTTGTTTGCTAAGAATTTGACTTGAAAAAAAAAAGTGAGATGAACTAAATGCTTTGTAGATGGAAAAGAGGAAAATACCAGTTTTCATTTTAAAAAAATAGAAGAGCTTTGAGGTCGCACAATCTAGTTTCACCAATTTTTCTTGCACGCTCCACTCATCAGAGGTGCTGTTGGAACCCCGAGCTACTCAGACCAAAGGCGTTAGTCACAACCAGGTTGTAAAATGTGTTTTTTTTTTCTTTAAAACTGTATTTTTTCACTTAGCATGTATGTTGATTGATGCTTCTGCAGACAGTGCCAAGCGTGCAACCAGCTGCTTGAGCACTTCAACTTTTCTCCAAACTAGTAGCTGCTTGGTATGAATACAGCCCTGAAGTCTCATATCTCCAACTGTAGGAGCATCGCAGTTACATTGACTTAAAGAACAACTGTAGGTATCTTTAAACTGTCAAGGATGGCAGATGACAATATCTCAGCAGTTTGAGGACTTCAGAATTAGGCAACAATCTAGTGAAGATTTGAGCAAAGAGGGTTCAATGTTTGCACATGTGCAGGAGCTGTATAATTAGTTAGTGGCTGGATTGCAGGCAGATGTGTTCATAACTTTTTAGCAAAATTAAAAAGTCAGTGAAGAATATTTCCTGAGATGTTTAAATCCCCCTCACCAATTGTCCTCCAGCTCCAAACACAATTAAAACATGAGGCCATTGTGAATGCTCATTTATAAATAACAAATACATACTCTGAGAGATCTGATCATATTCACCACAAAACCGTCCTGGTGTTTGTCAGACCAAAGTGCATATTAAAACTGGTCGCAATGATAATTGTACATTTCAGATATTCTCCATTAACTCCCCTCATAGTTGTGAACTGAAGCATCATGATGCTTTACAGCTGCTTTTGTCTCTTTTGAGTCATTCTTTGTTTCACTGAAACTAAATCAAGCCCTTGCAGACAGACAAAACTGTCAACACTGAACACTGAAATAATCACTTGAACTGTCTGTTAACCTCAGTTTGAACTTTAACTATAAAAGTCTCTCTTTCAGTTCTTCTCCTGTGTTGAAAAAGTCACCTGTGATCTTCTGCTGACTTTGAGGGAGCAAATAGAGATGATGACACGCCATGCGCCTGAACAGTCATGTCTCTCTGAGAGTAAATGTGTCAATTGGAAGGTAAGCTTATTCATTATGAACAGGGTGATGGCCTGCATGTTAATATTTGATGCTTTAAACCCTGCAACTTTCATGAAGTTGTCCGAATGAGTAGCATTTAAAACTTAAGTAAAGTAATGTGCTGAATAATTGATCTGAGATGTCTTTGATAAGAATTAGGACCAAGGTCATTACTTTTATTAAAGCCAGACACTTGAATTATTCATCTTAATTGTATGTTTCGCTTGTTTTCATTAGATCTTGGGCCAGAAAAGAGAAAATGCCATCGAGTTGAGCTCTTACTGGCTCAGTCTCTTCTTGTCACTCGTTGCACAGCTCTATAAATCCTGTATCTGTATGTAAACGCTCCTCCTGCTTTGCCATAAAATGTTCATCTCCATTGCGAGTTTCTTCCTCCCTCTCTTGACATTATTACACCTCCTCTCTCTGTCCAAGTTGCAAACTAAATCTCAGCCTCATCTTGTCCGCAGTAACCTTGTTTATTCCCAGCAGTGGCATTAGCAAAGCTGTAAAAGTATTTATGGGGGTACAAATGCGGGACAGCCAATCTAAGGTAAATCTATAAATCCTGGCTGTTGATTTCTCAGGGCCAGGAGGTGCAGCCGGTGATCAGTGGAGGTGGGAAGTATTCCCCGGGTGACTCTCTGTGAGTAACGCACGGAGGCCGAGCAGCATGCCAAACAGCGCTCCGGCCACGCTGCTGTGTTTGTAAAACGGCTGAGCCGGCCTTCGCCTCCGAGTGAGACACCGCTTCGATATCCATCCTCCAAGAACTGCTATCATTAGCCAGAGCCCAGCAGGGACCTGACTCAGCAATGTGTGTTTGTGAGTAAGTGAGTGAGTGTGTGTGTGTGTTTGTTTCACATTTTGCACCCTGTCCTTGGCTTGTTTTGGGGTTTCTAACAACAGCACAAAGTGGGCT